GCCGGTCAGGTAGACGCGCGTTGGGTCCCCACGCAGGTCCGTGGTCACCTGCGACCGGCAGAGGCCAGCTGACCCTTCCGGCAGGTCACGGCGGAGCCCTCTCGGCAGCTGTAGGCTCTCGCCCAGTCGTGCACGAGCTCAGCCACGCCGCGGAGCACGTCGGACCGCCATCCATTCTCGCTCGCGCACTCCTGTGGGCACTGCGGCGCGACGACGATGAAGGGGAAGGACGCGGTGAAGGACGCGTTGTGGCCTCTCGACAGCAGCCACGGGAGCGACTGTGCGTTGGCGACGGCAAAGCCGCCGCTCTCCCCGCGGCCGTGCAGAAACACGAGGACGGGCGAGGCTTCGCCTTCGCGCTGCGCGGTCGGTAGAAATAGCCCGAATACGACGCCGCGGTGCCGGAGCTGCACGAGTGACCCTCGGGCTTTCGCGAGGCTGCTTGGCGACAGTTTCTCGACAGACGGCTCGGGGCCGGCGGGCGCTTCGAAAAAGGCGGCGGCTTGGCCTGGTGGGTGGAGCGTCTCAACTTTTGCTGAGGCCAGAGCGGCGTGCAGCAGGAGGCGCATACACACAGAGAGAGAGACGTACGTAGCCAGGTACACAGACGGTGAATTTTTGTTATCTTTGAGCACTTGAGCACTGGATAGGGTCGATTCCGCATGGTACGGGACCCCTGTTATATTTGTTTTTCGTTGCTTCCTTGCGTCTCCGCTCGGTCGTCAATCGCCGCCAGCCACCCTCTGGTCGCGTTATGACGCCAGCTCTCCAGCTCGTCGTTCGTGATTTTTAGCAATACCAAACAAATCTAACACTCACACGTCATTTGGGGCCTGGAGCCCTGTTCACGCGCGCGCGAGACGTGCAGACAGGGTTGCCAGGTGAGAGCGAATGGCGCGGTTCACGCCTCGCACGACAGAGAGAGAGATGCGCTCTGCATGGTGGGACATAAAAGAGAGCGAGTACTTGGGCGAGTAGGCCGTGCGGTCGACGCTGCCGCGCGCGACTTTGCGCGCGAGGCGGCGCAGCTTGAGAACGGCGGTGGGCGAGAAGCCGCCGCCGAACGTCTCGTGGAGCAGCAGGTTGAAGTTGTTGCGCTTGACAAAGATCGCGTCGTGGTAGAAACCGCGATGCGCCTTGACGTAGCCGTGGCCGGTCTTGTGGGAGAAGGGTTGGCCGGGCTGCCCGCGCGCCTTGCAGCCCATGTTTAGCCGGCGGGCCTTCTCTTCGGGGTACCCAAAGGCGGAGGAGTGGCCAACGGAGGCGGGCGTGTTTGTTCCCCCCCCTTTTGGCCA